GAGTCAATGCAAAGTTCCCAGCTGGTTGGGAAGTTCTCTTGGGCACTGTTACCAGTTTAGCACAGTTGCCCCTGTGGTTTCTCCTCTCTGTGTCATTCTTCACTTGGTCAGGAATGAGGCCTCTTAGCAGCTGCTAAATATTCTCAGAACAAGGCCCTGAGCCAGTGTCCGTTCAATAATACAAAAAAAAATTGTCTCTGACAGCAAGCAAAGAGCATGAGTAGCCCCTTTCCTGTGAATTTGGGTTCTGTACATGTGACTTTTCTTCATGCCTGTTTTGTAACTGGTGTTTGTATGACTTTCACAGGACCTATGCAGTGATTTTTGTCTCCTGTCTTATATCAGACTTTGTATATAAGTTGCATTTCTTCATTCTATCAGGAAATATTTTTTTAAAATTTTAATAACTGTCAGAATAGCAGGACATCAATTAACTGGTGTTTACCCCATAGGGGATGATTCCTATTTGATGTTTATTACCAGCTGATGCTAATGAATATGTTTTGTTCATGTCTCACCGTACAGTGGAACAACTGACATCTCACTAACTCAAAATAAGCTTTTTGGACACAACTGGGAGTGGAAGCCAAGAAAACTCTTCATGAAATAGTTATCTGTGGAGATGCAGACAAATAGCTCCTAGCAGGGATGCATTACTATTAGGCAAGCAAAACAGGAGCTTTACAATTCATGAACATTTCCTTTGCATTTTTTTTTCTTTAGGAGGTACCCAAGGCAGCCTAACTAACATTGCAGAAGGAAAAAATAAAAAAGGTAATTCTAGAAGTTGAGGTTTTTATACACACTGAGAGAGAAATTCTGCCATGTTAAAAGCATGGATTACTATGCTGTACATAACCCCTGAGAAAAGAGCTGGATGTATGCTGGATGGATTGTGCATAAAAAGCTGAAGTTGTTTAACTGAAATTAATGATGCATATAGAAATATTGACTAGAAAACTGTGTCCAGAGGGTGAGCAAACTGCTGACCTACATGCACATGAATGAAGTTATATTTCGTTGGTCCATGTTATATTTGAAATGGAAGAGCAAAACATTTTACAAACAAATAAAACCCAATCAAGTCTAAACTTTCATTTTATACTCTCTACCACTCTGATGTTGTAATAAAAAGACTACGGCCACTGCTCTCACATAATCCTTTCTCAAATTCAAAACCATTAGGTTTTATCTTTCTATACTTTCCTTTAAAGAATAGGTATCTTTTGCCACTAGAAGCCCTCAGTTTAGCTCAACATCCATTTCAGTATTGACTGATCCTGAGGACATCTATTCCAGGCTAGAAAAGCACTGTGATGGACCATGGGCGTGCACCATCCCTGGGCTCGGAGGCAGGAGGATATGAGGGGATGCAGGAGCAGGTGGGATCACGGACAAGCTCCCAAGAAGGGCTTGGTGGTATTGGGAAAGAGGCCATGACTTGTGTAAGGGGGTGTAAACCTTTAGTGGCTGGAGTTCCACATGCAGCTTTCCATTCAGAGCATTAATTAGTCTTGGCAATAGTGAAATATGTTTACTTTGACGCCTCACCAAGTCCTGTATTTAGCAGTACTGTAAGGCATCAGTATTAAAGCATGCCCTAATAATAGAGGTTACAAGTAATAGTGACAGAAGTACCAAAGGAGGATCTGGGTGTTATTTAATGCTCCACTTTTGTTTTCTGATCTAGTACATCCTGATTGTTAGAGAGCCAGTGTTCAAGAGCTGCTGTGTGAGCTCAGATGTAGGATTGTAGGGAGGGATTGCAGAACTGTTGTGTTCTGGGCAGGATATATTGCTTGGAGAAATGTGCTCCAGGAGTCTGTCAGCCAGAGATGATAGGGGGAAATGAAGATGAGAGTGCTTTCTGGGAAAGTAATTCTGGGAAGGAAAATAAACCTGTCAAAGAAACAAACATCATCTAGCAATTGGTGGTGGTGGGAAAGTAACCTAGAGACTGAGAAGCATGCAGGACAAAAATCAGATGGTGTCATGCAGCTGAAAGAGATAAAAGAAAGATGGAGGGGGCGGGGGGGGGAACCCTGGGAGTCGGGAGAAAGGGAAAGAAGATAAAAACTTCTGAGATTTATGGATGTTCTGCACATGAAATTCATTGGTTTGCCATTTGTCTGCTACATCTGGAAAACAGTTTGTTTTTAGGGACTGCGTGTAGCAGGATAGGATTTTTCTCCACAACCCCTATAAGCTACTGCTAAAGTGAGAAGATTTCACAGGCTGTTTTTATTTTGGTATGTTTATTCCACCCATATTTATTGCTGAAGATACCTTTTCAGTGACATTGGCATCTGAATTAAAGGTACTGGGAGGATGCCATGTTTCTTTAACAATGGAAGGGCAACATTTGGACCCAGGAATGACTTCTGCAATGCACAGATCAGGAAAAATAGCATTAAGATGCAGAAACGCTGAAATTTCCTGTGCTAGGAGCAGGGCAGAAGACTACAAAATGACTGGATTGCAATATTGCATTTTAAAAGCTTAATTCCTACTTCTTGCTGGAATTTGGTATAAGGCTTGTGGCTTTGGGAGCTTGATCAAAAGAAATATTGTGTTGGTATAACAAGAAAATAGGTGCAGAGAGGGCAATGGAGGGGACGAGTGACGCACACAGATGGACCTTGGAGAAATGGCACATTTCAACCCTTCCCTGATTGTCTCCCAGCCACCACTCCATCAGTATCTTCTCCTGCCTTCCTCATTTCATCACCTCCAAATTGTGCTCTCTGACAGTTACAGGAAGGGAATCAATCAGAAGCTCTGCTCCTTCGGCCACAGCTCCTGGAGGCCGCGGGGGGCTGAGATCTGATTAAGGCATTGTTGAAAATAGCTTTTGGCTTTTGTCTGAAACCACTATCCTCAGACTCAGTCAGTGAGAGCAGGTGAACTGTGCCTGTCCTGTTATGGCACTCTACAGGTACAGGAGAAGCTACCTTTACAAAAAGGAATTTGCTTTTGAAAGAGCACCCAGAGCTGTGGCGTGGGCTGCCCTGTAATACAGCACATAGCCAGCAATACTCACAGCCGCTGTTTTATTAAAATGTGAGGGGTTTTCTTACTCAAACAACAATTCTTAAACTGTTATCTGTAATCAATCCAGGCTTTCAAATGGTATAAAATGCTTCACAAACTTGTTTTCTGCTGAAACTGTTCCACATAAATTCCAAAGCAGCTAAGTTTGTTCCTTCAGTTTCAACACACAGGACAGGTTTGTAGAGGGTCTCAACATGTATGCACAAGTGAAGTAGATTTTTCACTTTACTGCTATGAATTAAATCCCATAATTTAATTTGTTGGGTATTTACAAAAGGTCAGATTGATGTCAGTAATCTCAGCACCGTTCCAGGAGCAGTGCTACTTTATTAACTAGGCAGGCAAAACATTGTTTCTATGGATTGTGCATAAATAGTGTTTATAATTTTTTTTTTAATTTCCTGTCTGTGGACAATCTGGATGAAAAAGAAATAATAGCCAAGGTTGTGTGCTAAGTTGTTAGGCTAAACCATTTCAGGCAATAACTGAGTGTGGAACATGGATCTGGGTGCTGGAAATCACCGTATATTTCTAATTTAAAATCATTCTGTAAAGAGATCAGATTTTCCTGATTAAAAACCTTGAGAGGGCTTATGTTTAATATCCACATCTACATTCCATGCTGTGCTCAAATTTAATCTCTGTCTAATAACAAGGGTTTATAATGATATTGATTCAGCTAGAAGATAGTAGCATCTCCAACAGGATATTTTCACAAACCAAAACAAGTGATGTAACTTCTCTGAGTTCCACAGAGCAAAGGACAAGAGCTGAACACCCACACTCACCTGTGTGCTGCACAGGAAGGAGACTGGATCCCTTGCTCAACAGAGCACCAATAATTATATCATTCAAAGCTGATTTACTCTGTGTTAATCTGTTTACAAGGGTGTGTAGTTGGAGAAAATAGCTGCTCTGAAGTTTAGAAAACCTCTTTTCCAAGAAAGCCTTTTAACCTTTGCTCGTTGTATCTGCCCTTTCTGCCATTCTGCTCCCAATGCCTTTATTTCCATGTTGGCAATGCTGTGCCTGAAGTGGCTGTGAATGCATTTATAAAATGTGACTGCCATGGGCACCAACCTATGTCTTCAGTCCTGCATCTTCTGTAAAACACCTCTTTGCTTTATCCCAAACATTTATCCCTGTGCTTGCCACTGTGGAAATTTCTACACAAGCCCTTGTGGCTCATCTTAGACCTTGCCACTTGCATATGTCAATGCTTTCAGCTGCACAGAAGAAAGCCACTTCTTTGTCCTTGTTCTGTGGTGTTTATTTAAGTGAAAAATACATTAAATTATGTTAAGTTATGCTATTGCCTGAGTGAAGAATGCATTCCACCCACAAAGCCAATGATATTTGTTTTAATTTTATTTTAAAAAAAGAAATTATTTTACTTAAAAGCATTAATTTCACATGGACAAGCCCATTCTTGCCACCTCAGTATTCCTGTGAGAGTGACACCAAAATTATCTCAACATGTATTACCTCGGCTAAAATAATGTGAAAAGATACTACAAATGTAACAGAAAGATTTTTGCTTATGAGGCATAGCTAGTGAAGTGAAGACTGCATTACATATATTCATGTTTGAGGAGAATCTATTTGCATCTCGGAAATTTTAGGAGATACTCAGAACTGCATCTGAAAACTGAGCAAAGCTGTGTATGTAGAGGACACCAATTTTTGCAGTGGAATTTATGCAAATAGAGCAACTTCTAAGGCTTTTCATAAAGTCCTTTATCTTCAGAGCTCTCTTCCTTCCTTGTACTTTTGAAGGGAAAGTGATGTAACACTCAGACAGTGATAGCATCAATTTCCCATAAAATTCTCACTGTGTTTACTGTCAACTGAAGTGTTTCATTAACTCCGAGCTAAATGGCGTTCAGCTGATGCCACAGTCACTCTCCAAGAGCAGACAATTCACCACGCATTGGCTCCCCTGGTGCAGCTCAGGGGGGTGCAGATGCAGACATGTGTGTGTAAGAACATTTGGAGAGGGAAGCCCTCGTCGTTTTCCCCTCCTCCTCATCACCAGCCTCTCCCCGAATTGCAGGGGGCTTTTGCTTGGCACAGCAGGTGAACGTGGCCAGGAAGGCCATGCGGAAACGCTTGTTCATGAAGCAGTAAATGATGGGGTTCACGCAGGCAGAAGTGTAGGACAGCAAGTGGATGAAGGAGATGGGAGCCCCCGAGAGACGCCGGTCTGCGGAAGCCGTGTCGAAGGCTCGCCAGGCATTGACACTGAAGATGGGAGTCCAGCAGATGAAAAACAAAACCACTATCACCATCAGCATACGGATGACAAGTTTCTTGGCCATTAAGTTGGCAGAAGAGCTGTTGCTTCTCACTCTCTCTATTTTGTTGTGGCTCATAGCAGAGAGCTGCTGCAATGGCATTTTCCTTTTTCTTTTGGTTTTGTTGAGGTAACATCCATCTCCATCCTCATATTTGGCGCTGCAGGTACTTATTCTTCTTTCTGTACGTATAAAGTGCTGTTTAAATGGTTGGCAAAATATCTCTGGACAGTGAGCCAAATAAAAAATGAAGAATGCAGTTTAAATCTAAATAACATAATTCGTAACTGAGCAACTGTTGCAAAGAAAGCACTGGCCTGCTTCTGAGTCAGTCATGTTATCAGCTCCTCTGAATCCGCTGTCTCCCGATATTCTCACATCTTACCTCTACATAAACCGATGCAAAAGGTGTAAGAATGTTGCTTAGTCCAGTATGGACAGAAGATGATTTTTGAGGTAATATGATTCTATTTTAATTTGACAATTTTAATTGTGACATTTTTTGACAAAAATTGTCCTCATCCATGGCCAGAAAAAACCCTTTGTATTTCTATAATAAACAAATTAGAAGTGTAATGTATTCTGCCCTGAATCTTTGCAAACAAGCCATAGGTGAGGTTTAGTTGCTAACAGCACAGTAGCTGTAATCAAGAAATGTGGCTGGCAAGTTCATGACATTACTGACCATAATGATCACTTTTGCAAGCAGAAAGGTTTCCTTTTACTAGCCTCAAAGTGACTGCTCGTATCTTCAACTGTAACTTAAAAAAACCCACCCCAAACCAAAATGCATTGTTACCTCGTGAAGATTTTCTCTGGCTGGCATCAAATTTTATTCCTCTGTAGAGTTCCAAAGAAATTAGACCATACGCAACCATCATTATAATCCCAGGAATAAGAAAGAGTGTGAGTAGCAGGAAAGTGTACCTAGGGAATCAAAAGACACATTGAGAGAATAGGGAATGCCACAAAACCAGAAAAAGTCCTTTTTATACAACTGAGAATTGGGGAACACGGAATTTAAAGATTTTTTGAATTTTTTTCACACCAATACAAAGTATCATTTTGACACCTCAGAAATTTGAAGCTTCCTACTTCTCCTCCTGCTTCCCCCAGAAAGGTACAGCAAGAACAAGACTAATGGCTGAAAACCATCTTTCATCCCACCTATGCAGCCCAGCTATGTGGGAGATGGGCACTCCCACAGTGGTTAAAGGGGGTAGAAGCTCTCTCTGCCCATGAGTGGGGCTCCCTGCTGTTACCAGAGGAGCATTGGATGCCCTGTAGCTTTGGACAATGTGAAAACTGCCTTGCAGAAGCTAAATGAGCACCTGCTGATTCTCAAAGGGATCCTTGGTACGTTAAAAATATTTTAATGTTTGGGCTCAATGATCTTGGAGGTCTTTTCCAATGTAAGTTATTCCATTATTCTGCTTCAGAGAGATTTGACTTCCTGAGGGCAGTGGCGCACGTGGGCAAAGCCAGAGCAGCTGCAACCTTCATCCCTGGAGCCATGCAGAGCTCCTGAGGAGGGATCCCAGGATTGGCAATCTCTTTGGTAAAGGAAGCAACTTTTACTTGGTTTCACATCTGCTACTCTCCTAGTCAGCTTCTCTCATGTGATGACAAGTTGGGGAAATAATGATCTTTAAATGCATCCGTGAGCCTGTGTCTCTCCTGATCCCCATGACTTTGGTGCAAACTCAGTAACACACCTGGGAATCTGTAGGGAGACCACAGAGAAGAGAATTTTGTCCTGTACCCTTCCTCCTCATACCACCAAATACCTGAGACTACAACTGAAAGCATTAATGCAAAGTCACTCTCTTTGTGGACATACCATACCAAAATGGTACAGACTTTAATGTTTTTCCTAGTTCCACCTGACCTTCAGTATCAAAAAAAAAAATCTTACACTTTCTCGGTGCCAGTCAGTGTTTAGTCAGTGTGCAAGGACATCATGTCTAAGTACTATTGCTGTTTGATAGTGCTGCTGTTTACCCTGCCTGGATGTGTAGGACGGGGAGCAAACCTCTCCCCACTTCTCTCTGCCCCTATTCTCCATAAGCAACCAAAAGGATTCTCGAGACATTTGCAGCCTCATATTCTACTTCTCTGCTACAGAGGACCTTCAAACAAATTAACAGGCAAGGCGGCACACAGAGGGGTGTTTGTCTGTTTCTCAAAGATTAATAAAGGACTCCTCTGAGAATACTGAAGTTTATGTGTAAATGAGTGAAAAGCAGTATTCCTACCACAAGTGACAGATGCTTTCTTTACAGTGACAGCTGGGGCTTAGCAGACCATGGTGTGAGAATCATTGCCATAATTTTTTTATGACAAGGGAAAATTCATGTAAATATCAAAATGTAAGCAGCTTAAAAATGTTGGGTGTTTTTTTACATCTTAAATAAGCATGATAGAGTGTAAATATTTGCTGAAGGTTAATACTTGATTTTTCATAGGCTTATTGCAACCATGAAATCCCGTTTTCCAGCAGATAATTACACATTTACTAACAGCCAGTTATGTCTTACCAAGACTGTTGAATGACATCGCTTGGCCAAAGGAGCCGACACATATTTGCTGTGGTGTTGTTGTACTTGGTGAAAGGTACCAGTTTGCTGTAGATTGGGTATGGTGACATGATAGTAAAGGAGACACACCAGGTCGCAGCAATGACTCTCAGGGCGTGAGATTTTGTCTGCCAGACCCTGGACTGCAGTGGTTTGCAAATGGCACTGTATCTCTCCAAAGATATGGCAACCAGGTTGAATGTAGAGACACTTACGGAGACACCTATATATATAGATAACATAAAGAAGTAGTTTATTCTCTTGTTTTAAAGGTTGTGTTCAAATGGTCTTGCTAGCTTGCTGTATGCATACAAAGATTTAAAAATATAGCAAATTATTTATAACAAAGGTATTTATAAACACTGATTAGGGGCGGTGGGTCTGTGTCTCCAGACCACTCCAGACTGATACGCCTTTTCTGCGCTTCTCTTACTCCAAAAGTCCAAGAAAAAATATACTCTGTCAAACCATAAATTCTGGCAACAGGGAAAGAAGACAATTTTACTCCTAATTATTCTCTTTGCTACTGTGGTTTATTCACTCCACTAATTGCACTGAAATTCAAACAAAGCATTTGAAATCAGTTAATTACTCTCTTAACACAGATGTTCACAGTCCCTTTTCTATTGTTTTAAATTTTTTGAGTGTCCTGCTTGACTTGTGATCTGATTTTCTCATTCAAGAGAGTTAAACCTATTACAACTTTTTAATTAGATGCTAATGGAGTTACAAACAAGGAGAAATGAAGTCATGAAGCAGAATCTTTGTCCTTCAAGTACCCTTAATTTCTTCTGTTCAGATTTTATATAATAGAGTGCAGTTGTCTGTGTTTCTGTCATTGAGGTGCCCAAGTTCACCACTGTAAAATTATAAATATTTCTTCTTAACTTTGCCATAAACTTTTCTTTCAGTGAATGATCTTTTATTTGTCTTTGTGAATGTGGGTCAGACTATAAAATGCCAATATTGTTACAGTTGGCTTTACAGAAATCATATGTAATTGAAAATTTGTCTTTCTACATCTTAAAATGAAAAAATGAGCATAGTTGATGAAATGGTTGTCAGTGTCCGTTTGTCAGGTGAGTCCTCTGTTACCTGAACCTTTACTGGGAAATCTTCACATTCTGGCTCTTAAAATAAAACAGCTTCCTAACGAGAAATTTTATGTTGGTCTATTTCAGTGGATCTTTTTATAAAGTAATTTGCACTGTGTGCAAAAAGAGGAAGATGACAATGCTTCAGTAATGTTTAATGGTATGTTTGCCAGCAATTCATTATAATTGTTTAAACATGGCCTTTAGTTCTATTGGTTTTATCTACAAAAAGATGTTGATTTCCCATTCACACACTTTAGGTGTATACTTTCACATTACATCAAAGTTCTCAAGGGCATGGGTTGAAAGGGGACCAGAGGTTTCTGTAATCAACTAAAGGTCTCCCAAAGCGGCAAAAACTTTATATAATGTTCTCCTTTCTTCTTTCTTTTTATTCTTCAGTTTGGTTCTGTTTTGTTTGTTTTCATTTTTTTTGCTTAAGAAACAAGCAAATGCAGAGGAAACTTTAAAGTGAGACAAAAATCACTTACACACACATACACAACCCAGATATTTTGAAACTCCTGCCTCCTGGCTCCACAGTCAAAAGTATGGCAAGGCATACAAAAGTGATGCTTCTTAAAGTTAGCCTCTAAAATCTATATCTGTGTCTTATGGTCTTCTGGTAAGCTCTGGTCACACCTGGTCTGACTGCAAAGAGTACTTGCTCGAACTTCCAGCTCTGCAAATTACACCTACTTTGGCCTATTTCTTTTTTCTTTTTTATGTACCACTGCTGCCAAAAATCTGTGGGTAAAATCTGCCCTTAGTGAGGGTGTACAAGCCCATCATTTCTGGAGGGTGATCAGAACACTGATAAGAATCATGTCAGTGATGGGTGGTCAAGTGCATGTGCTGGGTTCCCCATTAAAGTTTGATTATGCAACATCTTCACATACAGCAAAACACTTCTGTGTGCCATTAAAGTTAATTGTGTGCCTCTGTGTTTTTCTGGATCAGACCAAGGACACCAGAACCATGAAGATTTGCACTACAAAGTTGTTTCTTCATAATATTGGTAACTTCAATGGTGGATGGAAGTAATCAGCCTTTGATAGATCTTTAAATACCTTCTCACCTGTCTCATTAGTCAGTCTTCAAAACAGGTATAAACTTCCCAGACTTACCCATGAAATAAGTGGCAGTTTTGCAAACAGCACTTCCAAAAATAAAATCTTTTAGCAGGTTGGGAATGAGGGTGAAAGGCATGCAGAAAAGGCAGAGCATCAGGTCACTGACTGCTAGTGACAGCAGAAATGTGTTGGTGACTGTTCTCATCCTCTTGTTTCTTATCAGCACCGTAATCACCAGAATGTTCCCCAAAATGCTGAGCAGAAATATCAAGCAATATAGCAGAATCCGTATTATCTGATGCAAATCTGAAAATTGTCACAAGAAAAGATGAGTTACACAGTATTCAACTCAGATTAATATTATGTATTTCAACCTTAAATCAAAAGGTCAAAGACTTCTGTATTCAATTTTATGAACGTTTATGTCTTTATGGCAATGCAAAATCAGTAAAAGTGCTGAAATTCTTAAATGTGTTCTGATCTACCTAAGTTGCATAGAATTGAACTACAATACAAGCAATACAATGTACATTTGGAGAGTCAAATACAACTTCTTAAAGCATGTGCTTCTCATGCTACGTACTGTGCACCACTTACCACGGGAGATCCTATTTTATGCAAAAGTGAGAAAAGATCAAGCAATCAAAAGACATTTTAATATATGGATTTTTTTTCAGCTTCTGAGTGCTGTAATTTCATATTAAATCACTTTCATACATGGTATCAGATCTGATCACTCCATTGTTATTGAATTGAGTAAAAATCCTGTTTCACCAAGTCCTTAGCAGAGATATTTGCATTTTTTGCTCCAAAGTGCTACTGTTTTAGTTTTCCATTATATCCAAATTTTGTCCTAGTTTAATTTTGAACTTGGAAAACCATCACATGCTAAATTTTTTGCTGCCTGTGTCTCATACTAACTTAAAAGCAAGCAGTTGATTTTGCACTCTCTCAGAGAAAACGCCTTGCATAGCTCTTTCTTTCTATAGTATCTCTACATCCAGCTAGAATGAAAACTGCCTGGAAAAAATCCATTTCCAAACACACATACCTTTAGAAGGATAAGGTGCATCATCCACACAGAAAAAAGTGTCATTCTCCAAGATGATATCGCAGAGGAAATCAGTAATGTTGGTACCATTCCCAAGGAAGCTACTAACATCAACTATTTCCATTCTTCAGTATCCACAGGTTAGCTCTAATGAAGAAGAAGGTGGGTTTGTAACTATCTGTCCATGCTTTCAGTAAACAAATACGTTTCTGAATGAAGTCTTCAGAAGAAATACAAGAGAGGCAGCTGTGCAAGGAAGCTGTTCTGACTCTCCAGCAGGAGCACCCAGCACACAGAGTCCTGCTCTGGCTGAACAGGATTTATTCCAGGGGCACACCCGGCAGTTGAGAGAAGCAAAGCGTGTGTGCACACACACACACTCACACATATGCACACACACACAGACACACACAGAGCCCCTCCGGCACTTTTTAGATCCACCCTCTTCTGTTACCGCACCACTGTTGGGATTATAAACAGGCTAGAAAAAGATTACAGCATTAACCCTTTGCAAGATTGCTTCTACTCATGTCTCTGCAATATTTCTCAGAGTCAGCCTGTTATGTCACAGCCTATAAATGAGACCCAGTGAGTGAGGAGAGGGATAAATCTATCTCTCAACTAACATCTAAAATTGTAGGAGTCACTTAATAGAAGGGCAGAGAGGAAAGAAACATAGTGAGGATTTTGCATTCCTTACATGGAAATTATTCTTGTCTTCATATTTTTCAGAGTAAACTGATGATAGGGAAGACTCAGAAAAATAGTAAAAGCAGCTACATTTATCTCATTTGGCAAAGTGCTAGTTTCATATGGAAGTGCTGTACGTGCCTGATCCAAATCCCAGCAAGCCAACAGAAAAACTCACTAATTTCACTTAGTGGATCAAATCTTATGAAAGTCTATTAAGATTTTTAGTTAGTATAAGCAGAAGCCCATACATTTCCTCTGTGCAAGAACTTCTATGTGACTCGACAAACTTGATAAATCTGACAAATTGTGGCACGTTAATTACACACCAGCGGAAAACACAAAGATCTTGATGATTTAAACTGCTTTTTTAATACATAATCATCCTCACTGGTGTTTTCACAAAGTCATGGGCTTTTACTTTATACAGCTTGTTTATGGCCAGAAATGCAAATTAATATTAGAAATTAATATCTACTATAACTGAATGAAAAACTAATTTCACATTTAAAATCCCTTTTATGTAAAAGCAGAGCAGTAACAGGTTCTTTATAAGAAGTTCTGACCCCTCAAAGCTGATATACACAGACTGGAAAGAATTACTTTCTTTTCTGGTCTTGCCAGCTTTGCTTCATTGTATGAATAATGGGAGCAGGTATGTAGGAAAGTACAAATTACACTGAAAGTTATAATTTTTCAATTAATAATTATATTTTAATTAATTAAACATAAAAAATAACATTTAATCAACCTTAAAATTAATAAAACCTAATAATTAATAAAACAGGTTTAATTAAATATGATAATATTTCTAATAATTCTAGTTTCTCAATTCATAACTTCTCAAATTCTTTGTACCTCTGGGAGTGCTGGATGCAGCTGGCCATCAGTGGTCCATAGGACTGCACGGTGCCACTGCCCACCTTGCTCTCAGGGTGTGAGAGGCTGGCCAGGGCTGCAGGACAGCAATTAACACCGTAAAGCCAGTGCAGGTCTCTCATATCATTCTCAAACATGTGTGGGACGGGGTGAAGCACCAGCTTCTCCAGGACAGCAGGAGCCCCTCACTGAGCCCCAGCCCAAGGGATGTCAAGTGTCCTCAGTGTCAAGACATGCTTGCTAAGCCCATGCAGGATGGATGAAGCCAGTGAGGCCAGCAGCCACGGCTGGAGGCTTCGCAGAGTCGGTGAAAAGGCAAACTGAGCTGGGCTGCACTGGACACAGCTCACTTTGTGTGCTGTGCAGACAGCAAAGGAGCCAAGAACACAGGGGTAGGAGACAGCACGTGCAGCACGGGCTTGAAGAGTTGAGGGATAAGTACTGAGCCATGACTAACTCCAGAAGGTACTGATTTCAACCAAAAGCAAGAGCAGAATATGTGACGGAATGATATTCTGTGCAAATTCCAGCAAGTGTGGAACCACTGTTTAAAGCAAACTGGATCACCTTGTTCACGTGCTCAGGACTCTGAATGTATAAGGTGCAGCTTTCCTCTACAAATTTGTCCAGAGATTTTTATCTGTTACTAGAGTCCTCATCAGCTTTCCTTCTCTGAATGCCAGGCTTACACACTGGCTCATAATTCCAAGGGTTTAGTTCCCCTGGAGTCCTTTTTAAACACTGGCATCACATTTACACAGTTTTTTCCCCTGGCAACAATGTAGTTGTAAACAATAGATTGCACATCATAGTTAATAATTTTACTATTTCCTTTAGAAGTTCTGGATGAATACCATCTGGTCCTGGGCTGAGCTTGATTCAGCATCTGCTAGTTAAATTGCCAGAGTAAATGAGGAAGAATTTGCTCTGAACTCTTGATTCCCCTTTTGGAGCGTATTTCTGCATGAAACATATCAAGATCAAAGAGTTTGTTTTTCTAGGCTTTTATTTTGCATAGGTTTACTCAAATGTACAGCCAATAGCCCTCATGTTTGGACAGTTCTGAGTTGCCTTTATAATATAATTTCTCTCCACTACATTTAGCTAACTGCTCGATAGATCACCCTCCATGCAGACCAGTATCATCTCATTGTCTCCCTGCAAGTTTCAAGAGAGAAGAAAAGGAGGTTTTAATGAAATGCTTGCTCATTGCAGATGTAATTTTACCATTTAGGAGAAACAAAAACCTGAGTGTCTGTCCACTTGTAGTTAATCATGCATTGTTTGGGATGTTGCAAGTTTTAGGCAAGAACTTGTCTGGAGCGGGCTTTTGTATTAGCAACACTGATTTATTAATAAAATTATTTTTTAATTAAGAAATATTGTAGGTAGCTTAATATGTCTGCATTGGTAGTTTAGACAAAAGTATACAAAAATATTTTCTCTATATTTGAAGGAGGCTTGCTAATCCATGATAACAAAATAATCTGTCTTTTTTTTCCCTTTTAATTCTAGTCTTAATCCTTTTCTACTCTGTAATGTCAGATACTGAACACACTGCCCTTGCAGCCAAAACAGTTGCTGTGCTCTGTCATTTCCTGCTATGTGTATGTATCTTTTCTCATCCAAAACTAAACCACATCAATTTACAGTTTCCTCATTCTTTTTTCCTGAAGAATACTCTGTTCTGTTTTTTCATTAATTTGACAAATATGTTTACTTATTTTAAATAGAAAGTCCACTTGAGAAATTATGAATTTCAAAAAGCATATCTTTATCTGGTGTCAAATTTACAAATATGTTTAGGTTCGTTGACAGGTCTTTTTTGTCCTGACAAGTAAAATTAAATAAAACAATTAGAAAAAAACATATATGTATTGTCATGGTCTACCTCTGTTCTCACTTGCCAGGTTTATGCTGACATTAGGCCTCTGTTTCAGTGGAGTTACTCTCACAGGCACAAACTACAGGGAGATCAGAACTAGGCCACACTTTTGGAGAATGCACAAAATTCTCATCAACACATTTATTGTAAACTTTCAAGGCAATCTGAGCCTAAGTATATCTCAGCAACTGAATTTAAAAAATTTATTTCATTCTGATCTGAACTAAATAACATAAGGATGAAATTTACTTCCGAGCACCTTGTTGTACAATCAGTGATTTCTGAAATACCATTCACCAACCATAGATGGGATCAAAGGCAAACAAGGTGCTCCTGCTGCCCCTGCAGTGCTTCTGCCACGTATTACATGGCATGCTGCTTAATAAATCTCTGGAAGACTCCAGAGGCCTTCAAGGATGAAATTCTTGTGTTAAGGTCACGTTATTATCAAGACACATCTCAAGGTATCTTTTAAATTGTTTGGGGATGACCACTTTTCACTGATTTGAAGTGCCAATTCATAGTGCTTGAACTTCCTGATGTCCATCCAGGCAGCCTTCCTGCCACCTGTCCTGCCACCTTCCTCAGCAGAGAGGAAATGAGCTCTCCCAGGTGATGGCTGTGAGTTCTGTACTGTGTTCAAGGCTCTCTCTCTGATGAATGGGATGAATAAAGCATATTGTCCTGTAAATTCTCAGGTTCAATTTCATAACCATGGTAAAGTTTCTATGGCCTTTCTATGGGGTGCGAAAGCGACTTCTGCTCCAGAGATTTCTATGCAAGTTCTGTATACAATTTAGGGAAACTGCTTCAAAGAAACATGCATAAATAATTTGTCCAGTGTAACATAAGTTCTCATTACAGTCCTTCTGTCGCCCTGTGATATTACTGAAGTCTGAGCTGAGTCATTATCCACTCATTCCACCCAAATGGTTCACTGTGCATGTTGCTACCCATGTTGGCACTTCTCAGACTGTCACTGAGCTCAGCTGCATCTCCTCTCCCCATAAAAACCTATAAAAACCAAGGGCAGAAGTTACATCAATGCTCTCTGAACAAGTGAAGCTGATCCTTTTCCTTTTTGTGTCTTATCATGAGGAATACATAAGTGCTATGAGGAATGAATACACACCCATGAAAGAGGAATATAGATATTTTTAAAAGGTGCTTGGTTTTTTTGCAGGCTATACATGATGTTGTACAACCTTTTTTGTCCCTTCACCTCGTGAATATTAATTTGATAGGAAAAAAACAGCTCAGGATTTAAGCTAGAGAGGCAAGCAAATAGCCCTGAATACCCTTATACTGGGGGTATATTATGTGCTAGAATCCCATGCCAACTAACCTGCATCAACACATGACCTAGATCACTTTTTTTGGATTATATTAACACTATCAAATGTTGGTACCATTAACGTTCTCCTTTGAGCAAATCTTTGCATACTAGACCAACATCAGTCAAAGTCAAAATCATGTTCTAAGGTACTGGTCATCTGAGACTTTCTGAGGTACAGTCACAGCATGATCTCTAAAAAACATATAAAAGATCAGGGATTGCCACCAGAAACCACCCCAATAGGTTATAATGTCAGCAACAAAATGGTACAATTCCTCTTGACAGTACTCAAGTCCATAAAGCTCAAAGAGGCTCCTCAAAGCTCAACAGGCTGCTAAATAAAATCCCACCTGTAACAACTGAGAACTGTAGTCTTTTATTTTAAGATTCCAATTAGGCACGTAACAAAGAGTCACAACTATTTCACCACAAGAGATTTTTATGAGCATATCTCACAGAGGTATATTAATGAAATTAGTTATGTTGGCTGCAG